GCCATGTAGACCCACACCTCCACCCCGCCTTGTTCTCAAGCAGCCAGAAGAAAAACTGTGACCCCAGAAAGGATAACACCAGCAGTCAGGTGCCTAACTCTAAGGTTCCACGACTTGAGCGTGGAGGAGTCTCTCAAAGAGCCACCGATACCCAACCAGTCCTCGGTTTAAAAAACTCCCCCGCAAGTCTCCCACATGGCTATCTACAAACGGTAAAGACAGAAAGCCCAGAAACCCATCCTTCAAAGCAAGGAAAAACCCCCATCCCAACAGTACACCCCCCACCGAACAGAAGAAAACACAAACCAGAGAAACCCCAAACCAAAGGTCGAAACCAATTCCTCGCCTACAACAACCAAATACCAACCCAACCTGTGCTCCTTGCTTGGGACAAACCAATGACCAGGCCTCACCCGTGAAGTCGAAAAACGAATAGGTACACCATATAGGTGATATGAACGTATATCTTGGACATATAGCCCACAGTCGCAAGCAGGAGAAACCGAAAGGAAAGAGCGCCCACTGTAAGCAGGAGGTATTGGCAGAAGGAGAGCCCCAAGCCGTCAGTCCGGGAGGGCCGAAGGGGCTGCCTGAAGCAGCAAAAGAGGGAGAGGTAGTAGGGTACCAGCCGACAGTAGTAGGGTACCAGCCAACGCGACCGAAGAGAAAAGAGGAGGAAGGGCCAAAAGCTCCAGTGCTGACCCAACCAATCAAAGCCCACCACCGTATTATGGCATCTCTCATGTAGTCCCTTGTTCTCCGAGAGATAGCATCACTTAGTGGAAGGGATCCCACAAGCAGTAGGAAGGTGGAAGGGCAAGGTGAGGAAGGCAACCAGACTTGAACCGAGCAACTAGGAGGGTATAGCCAAATCTCACCGCGAGACAGACCCCGAAGTTACTAGCAGAGGCGTTCCCCAAGGGGGATCGTGCAAGTGTGGAGAAGGACGTCCACCACTGCCAGCGCCATCCGGAAATGTAGAGAGGAAGCCGACCATGCTAAAGCGAAGTGTGCCCCTATTAGCAAGACAGGACTACTGGGCGAGCCCAGATAACTCTCCCATCAAGCAGACAAGAGACAAGCGAGGCCAAAGCAGGAGTGGATGGAAGAGTTAACCATGCCCCTAGGCAGGAACCATCGAGGGGGCAGAGGGGAGTGAGGGGGGCCCACGATAGTTGATATGGTGTTGCCAAACTATGTAGGAGGAAAATAGGAGTGACGGAGCATGGTTATATTCTAATACCAAGACTACTAATATTATACCAAAATTCCAACTTTGAGAACATTACTTTTATTGCACTACATGTCTTCTATATTTCTGTAGTTTTTTAAAATATTCTAAATCAGTATTGAATTGGTTATACTCATTTGAAACTACTTTAAAATGATGTTTACACTTCTCTGTTGATCCACTATCTCACAACCTCTGGAGAAATTCTAGTTCTATTTAAAATTTAAAATACTAGTCTATTTAGGTAAAGCTATAAGTTACCTGATATCTAATTGTAGTGACTATATACAGTGAAATATAATAAAACATTCATAATATAGCACTCTCTGTGTAACAATCCCCTTTCAGATAGTTATTTCTAGGCGATGGGGAACGATACTTATCTTCTCCCTTTCTTTCTTTGTCTTACGATAGCTCTAGGCCTCTGCCTATGTTACCGATAGTACAAGACCTTTGTCTTCTATCGGAAACCCCTATCGTAAGCTTTCTCTAACTCGTCTTCGTACTGAGCACTTCTTGGCGTAATGATAACGTTGCAATAAGGATAAAGATCGTAAAGGTGTTTTATTCGTTAAAGTAATATGTATGAAAAGTACTTAGAACAAAGCGTGAAGAACCTATCTTCCTCGGCCGCATCGGCCTCCTTATATAGTGTTCTTCCCGCCTTTAGTCATGTGACCTAAAGTGGTCACATGTGCGAAACTAAATCACAACAAACTAGTCATGTGACCAAAGTGATCACATGTTCAAAACCCATGATCTCCTAGCGAGACTATGTGCGAAACTCATAAACCAATCATAACGCAATAAACAAGTCATATGACTCGACTGAGTCATATGCACGAAACCCATGACATCATAATGAGGTCATGTGTGAAACATAAATCATATGCGCAAGGCTTACCCGTAAGGCACACTCATAAGGCATACTCTTCAGGCGCATGTCCCATGACTCATACTTGAGCCATGTGCGAAAGCATCACAAATCCCACACATAACTAATCATACAATCCGAATAGGTTATATGCGTGAAACAATAACATACCTGTGACTCATAACCATGTGTCACATGAAAACCCTTTCCTTGCTAAGCCACGTTCGTGACACTCTGTAGCCTTTATTTACTGACAGAACATTGCCAGTGAGGCCACCACCTATGAGTTATTTCCATCTACATAAAGTACAGTAAGTGCAAGTAGGCTGTTACTCATAAGAGTGTATTGTTGGAGGAGAGAAGGAAACCAGCTGAAGAGGATTTGAACAAGCTGAAAGAGAGAGGGTACACTCAGAGTTCCTAGCACAGTAGTTGTAGTCTACAGATAGCTGAGGCACGGGGTAGGCTGAGGGTTCCAGAGGTGGGCCAGAGTGGGTGGACAAGAGATGGGAAGCTGCCAGGCAACAGTGAGAAGGAGAAGTGATAGGACAGTGGTAAAAACAAGAAAATATATAGCTAGAGTAGAGGCTAGAGGTGGTAGATCTAGTGAATAGTATAGGCAATGCTGATTCCGCTATCATTTCCAAACACTCTGTTAAGTGAACCTTAATCAGTTTATCAACCAATCTCTCACAAAAAAGGCAGTACTGACTTTTGCCTTTATGGTGGGGAATGAGGATTTTTAGTAGACCATAGGCATTGATAATAGATGTATCTAAAAGCTAATAAATATATAGGTACCAGTTGAAAGAAGCCGGTCCCTGGGTACAGTAATAGCTATGCAGTTCATCTAAGATGTCAATGCCACCCATGTAATAATTGTAGTTACTAATGAAGATAGGAATCGGGAGGGTCTTTTTGAGGTTGATCACCAAATATTCTTCTAACAATAAGGGTATTTGTACTGGTCATTTTTGAACAATGATGTACTTAGTCCACTCTACTCATAATATCATGATCCCTAATCATGAATAACACAGAATTGTTATCCTGCTACACTAGGCACCATGTATTGTCTACAACAGTATTACTTAAATAGCTCTATGGGAGGACCTTCGTTGCTTCTGACTTTTCTATTTTCAAGCAAGAAGGATAGCATTGTCCATTAACCTGTGTAGTACCTACAGCTCCAATCACAATCTTTAGTAGCTCTTCTAATAGTGGTATATTAGTAAAGTAATTATTTAATACTAAATTCCACCGCATACTCTCTAGTAGAAGCTTTACCAACTAATAAATACTAGAGGCTGTCGGGATCAAGTTAGGCTGTTTGACTAATTCTGCAATATCCTCAGAGACTAAGTATAAAAGAATTCTATATATATAACTTTGAGAACAGAATGGAAAGATCTTATACCTCTGTTTACTTGGCTTATTCTTCACCTTCAGGGTATAGTGACTATGTCCACAGAATCTGACCATCATTTCATCGATAGCCACCTTTGTCCCAGGGAGAAAGTATTGCTGGTAGCTTTCTCTGAACCTATCTGCTAATGGACTAACCTTCCAATATCATTCTTTTTTCTCAAGCTGAATACATTCATCCGAAATAAGACAAAAGCACATGATTTGCTGGAATTGAGTATGAGAAATACTGTTTCCTGGGACGAAATGATGGCATGGAGTGAAAAGATACTGTTGGTGGAAAATGGGCCAGATAGATGTTCTTCTCCCAAGAATTTCTTTCTTCATTTGACCAACAGAGTACACAACTGGGTTAATAGTGATGGCCCTTTTTAATTATCAGCCGGGACCATATTTTCAGCTTAGCAGTAGAAGCTGCAGTTCATCGATGGTATTGTTACTTCTTTTGTTTTTTCGAAGTTAGATCTGCCTACTGACCCAGATCTACTGGTTCTTTTTCCCCTCTCCTGGTCTTTTCTCTTCATCTCGGCACACCTGTTTGTATCAACAGCCAATTCCACAAGAAGCTCATCCGTAAAGAAGAGCTAAAACAACCAGTATAGCTTATGTGGCCACTCTTCTGGCAATTAGGCCTACTTTTTACTTTAGACTTCTTTCTCTATCCTCAATTTTAACTAACAAAAGGTATAATGAACTCACCTAGACTGGTCATACAGCAGTAGTCCATACGTAAGATGGCCTGAGAGCAGCACTAAAGATGCTTTCTAGTGTATCCTTTTTCTAAGCTCCCCATCAAGTAAGTTGTGGTTTTGCTATATGATCAGACCAGGCTTGTTTGCTCCACCTATGTTATTACAGAAGGGCAATTGTTCTTCATACCTGCGAGGAGTGCTGTTGGTATGGGGGATCTTATGGATGAAATTGGAGAGGTGCTGGGAGAGACTTGGCTAGGGCTCGCTGCTTGACCGGTGTCTTTTTGGGTTGTGAAAGAGTCGTTGATCCGGAAGCTATTGGTTGCTCGACTACTGGCTTCCATTCTGAAGTTGAATGGATCTCAGGTCCGTTTTTTTCGGCTGCCGTTGCTGCCGCTTCAAAGGAGACACGCCTTCTGGCTGGGTGGGACCATTTGCTGAGTGAATATTATTGATTGGTAAATCGCCGAGAACTTTTCGCTTGGGTGGCATTTCGGCTGACTTGAAGTCTCTGCCGTCAGTATTCTTCTTGGATGAGGTGAGGTTGACAATGTGCCCAAGACTATTCCTTAATAGGCTAGTGTTCCAAATTTTAAAATGGACCGGAATGTCTCGACAGGTTATGGGATATCATATCTCGGATCTCTGGATGTCTTGGCGGATTATTATGTCAGGATCTCCCTGAGGGTGCAACCGCTTTAATCTGCAACCCAACTCGCGGCGAGTTAATTCCGGTTTAGGGGTAAATTTCCTTCTCAACCTGACCACAACTGTACCCACGCACCTCGTTTTTTTCGTGCGGCCCAGAACAACACTCGTATAACCAAGCTCCACCTTCAACACCTTTCCTGGATTATTCGTTTGCCTAATCCCGCCTCGAAATTTAATTCTGGTTTCCATGAGTCTGGCCCCCTGACCGGATTAACGCAAACGAAATTGTTCCCCGTCACGTCCCCATCATCCTCTGCTGGTTTGTCGTCTCACAATCCTCCGCCAACCCAAGCGCCTGGCCAGGCTTCCACCTCTCCATCGTCGTCACTCGCGCGAGATCCGTTACTTTACGCTTCTGCTGTCAGCCATCACAAAAGCACCTGGAGTGACGGTCAGGAGGAGGTGACAGATAAGCATCCAGAGATCTCCCAAGCATCACCTTCTTATAGCAACCAAGATCCTGAGCCTCCCCCACCACCCTATACCGAATCTGCTTCCCCAATCCGCTCGTTCACTTTCTGTATGGCGGCCACCACAGGATCCGCTTCTATTATTACGCAGGTTCAGCAAGGGGGGCCTCCCCTGACAACCCTTGGTGGTAGGATCACGTGTCATCCCTAGCTCACATTTGGTTCTTCTTAGCTTACCTCCTCTAGATTCACCAAGTGAAGAGAATCTCACTCTTGATCTTCGGTATCTAAAAATTTTCTACTTTCGCGCCCCCTGTTCTCCAGGGGATTTATTGTCGCTGCTCATTAACTTTGCTGTTGACTAGAGGCACCAAATTTGTTCTTTCCCGCGATGAGCTCCTCACTCTCCCAGAGTTTGTGTTACTGTCTCTTTTCCCCAATGGCCTCTTCCCCGATGGCCAGGTGACTTCCTTCCCCGACGAGGGCGTGCATTCGGTCGATGTAAGCCTTCCTCGATGCGTGCTGCTGGTCGCTCTATGTCTGATTTGATTCCAGTTCGACCCTGTTTGTCTCCAGTACATGTTGGATTTCTTTCGCCAAGTGTCTTCTACGATTACTGCTTCCAACAGCGGTCATGATGATGCCGATATGGAGAATGGCGCTTCCCCTTCTATTCCCACCAACGTTCTTCAAGACCGGGCTGGTATCATCGTCCTCCGGGAGGATCTTGACTTCTATGTCATCCCACCCCGTCGAGATATTTCTCATCCTGATATGGCCTCTGTCAAGCGCAACGCGGGTAAACTTCTTTTAAAACAGGACGGTATTTTTTCGGGCCTCAGGAGAACCGACGATGCCGGGACGACTGAGCAGCATCTTATCGAGATGTTGACTGCAGGGTGAGAATCCTTTCACCGTCTTCCCATCGTCTACACGCCAAATTCTAACTTACCCAATTTCTCTGTAGTGGATTCAACACGGATGATAGGTGGGGGCACCGAGCTGGCGAGCCGAATAAAGCTGTCATTTGCAGTCTTGCCCTCGCCAGGCTTAGGACCGACATGAGATCGGCGACAGGCGAGGGGAAGGACAGCAGCGCTGTCGGCATGGCCCAGAAGCTGCTTCTATTCTGGAGAAAACCTGCCGTATGTGCACTCCTGGCTACCAAAAAAATATTTCTCTTCATCTATGGCTAACACGATGTGGGAATAGAGACGATGTTGGTGGGAAGGAATGGACTTAGAAAACGTGGAGGGCGTGGATGGTAGGCTAAAGGTTTGGATTCGCCGCGTTTGGACGTTAGAAATGGTATGTCCAAGTCATCCCCCTTAGATCCGGTCGCGTACCCACCCGCCTTTCAAACATCCCCAGTCCCAATTGGTAACCATCCACTAGAGTGTTATCGGCTTGCGTTGACAAGGTCTCTTGAACCCACGACCACGCATCATCTCAGTTGCTGCGTCGGTCTAGAATATTTCTTGGCAATATTTGGCATCTCGTCAGTGTAATAAGTTGTTTCTTTCCCTTTAGCTCTTTTCTTGCTCTATTCTATCTTGTACTTGCGGCCTATGTTCCCCCCCAATCTCATCTCACACGAAACAAGCGCCAACGAGATGGAAAACTCGCGTCTTACGTTTGCATCTCATAGTGCATCAAAGGCGTTTGTCATCATTTGATGTTTTTGTTCAAATTGCCACGTGTCCGCGTGTTTTCTGCCCATATTGTCATGTAATTTCGGAAACACCCCTTTTTGCCGCCATGGCCTCTGTTTATACCCCAGACACCTGTTCCTTTGTCATCTACCCCTGGTTCCTAGTTCTTTTTGGAAAGAAAGACAATTGCAATTGCATCCTGACGTCTGGTCAGGTTACGGTGAGGAGACGTAGTTACCAGGTCGCTACTATATAGTTAGACCGTTATTCACTTTGGTTTCTGGTTCGTCTGACGCTGGGTCCTGAATCGTCATAAATTCGAAAAAAGGAAGAAATATAACGAAGGATCAAAAGGATCGTCGGCAAGACCACTTACAACGGAACTCCACGGTATTCCTAGAATACTATCAGGGTTTTGCAAGTTAGAAAGTGGATTTTTCATGAAGATTAATTAGGAAGCTGTACGAGGTTACTTTATGGTGTCCACCACTCGGGCCATAGCACTAGGCTGCATATCCGAGCGTACAAAGTGGATAGAAAGAAAATGTGTTCGGAATTGAAATAGAACTTATGGATTTTACATAAATCGTACAGTAGGCCATGAATCAAGTCAAAATTACATGCTTCAGATAATGCGTCTAGAATGATGCGGCAAACATGTTTGTAACTCAAGAATATAAACTAAAATGATAGAGATAGAGTACAGTACAGGTTACTAGCATGTAGAATATAAATATAAATATAATAACTATTTTATTTATTTTCAAAATAACCACCAGGATTTAGAAATAAGGTATGTTGACAAATAAGAATACCTAATACTAGATGGGATGTCTCAGTTACAAACAGGAAGGTAAAAGTGTAGGTTAGACATCACCGCAGGCAGAGATTAAGAAAAAAAGATGAGTAAAACTGAAGTCAGAATAGAAAAGGAGAGTGTGAACAGAGAATAAGAAACTGAATGGATAATGGACTTTAAGTATAAGGAAGACTGATAAGATAATACTGAATAAAAAAAATTTGATGGAAGAGGATAATATAACTGTTCAGGTAAAGGAGAGTATAACAGCTAAGGTGTATGATAACAGGATAGAAAGTAGAGTTAAAAGCAGCATAAGTTATACAGGTATTTGGGTATTGATTATAAAAGTCAATTAGAGTAAGAGTTTAAAGATATAAGGTTAGATATTAAGAAAAGTATGTATTTCAAGTAGAGATATAATTTTAAAAAAACAAAATACACAATAGCCTTCTTATAAAAGTATGAATTTGTCTTATAATTTTATTTGTAACAATTAAGAGATGGGTTATTATATAATATGATAGAGTATGAAACCAGAATTTCAAAGATTTAAGAAGACCCTACTAGTGTTTTATGACATAAGAATTACATTTTCATGTATAATATAGTATATTGAATATAATAATTCTGTTCTTATTTTGATTATATATTCTATATGTAATTATTTATGACAAGTTAAAAGAAGTCATAGTTTATAAATCTTAGTACTTTGTATGTACATTTCTTACCATGTTGTGGTGTAGGTAAAAACAGATTGATGATATATTATAAGAACATATTACTTTTTTGTATTCATTATTTATTTTACTAAGAAATACTATATTTACAAGTCCACCTATATTAATATTAGTAGGAAGTCAATATTAGTATGTCTTAAGAAGACCTAGGATGGAATTTTTATTGTAGATGGAGATTGTTTAGGAAGTTACAGTTTCATTCTTTTCATTTCAAAATACCAAGAACTCACTAGAAAGCATAATAAAAATAATATAATAAAGATGCAAAGTAAAACTTATCCTAATCTGAATTGACACAGCTGGACATTATGCTTGTAGACACTTCCCTTGTAGGCTCGGATGTATCAGATGGTATCCAGGGACAATTCCTATTAACCATTCACCTTGTTTATCAACTTTCAGTCTTGCCCAATTACTCTCAGCATCTACAAACACTTAATTCCCATTTTCAACACATGCCTCCCACTAATCTACATTTTTTGGAGTTCACCTGATATACTCTCACCATTTCTTACCTTCTCTATGATAATTAGTTTCATTTGTACTTTGTTCACATTCTGTTCTGTATTTTTTTCTTTCGTTTAATAGTTATCCTACTACCATCTGATTTTGCTCTCATTCCTTCTCATGTTGTTTCCATATTCTAATACTACCTTGTATTTCTGTATTGGACCAATATATATACTCGGTTGCCTATCATCTCTACATTTCATCCACTACGGCCTTTTATATTCTTTTACTGGCTACCAGTCTCAGACAACTTCTGCTCATTTGCTAAGTGGGCTGTGATTTCCAATCCTACTTTTTATATTTAACCTAATCTGCTAGATGTATTTCAAAATTCTTTCATAATTTCATGTTTTATCTGACTCCATCTGCAATTCTCTAGCTCTATTCTTTCTTATCCTAATATCTCCAATTCTGTGACCTCAACAAGATCCTATCCTACATCTCTCTCCTAGAAGCTTACTTTCTCCAGGATAGTTTTAATATAATTTATTAATATTTTAATAGAGATACTAAATTATGTAACAATCACTTTCATTTTCTTTTAGTTCATGGACCCAATTTCATCTAAATGCTGCAGATATTCTTCAGCAGCACTGGAAGGATCTTTGTTACTTGAGCGCACTGGTGGCCTTTACATTTCTACTGGTTCAGGTCCTCTCTGACTATATCCTGTTTGCATAGTATATACACAGTTGGCACAGTAGGCTAGTGATCCAACATGCTCCAGAAGAATTCAAAACTGTGGGTACAAGGCAATGGGATTATATGATTATCTATCAGTTCTGACACTATGTGTACTCTGACCCTATACCATTGTATCATTGTTAATCCTCTCCCTATTCACCGTATGCTTTTAGTCCGAAAAGAGACATGCATATTACCTTACATTGCCAATTGAGGTTCCAGTAGTACTGTTTTTCCGCCAGCCTGAATATCATTAAACTCTAGGGAATATTTTCTATCTCCATCTTGATAACTAAATGTATGAAAAATACATTATCAATGAAGTTCCCAGTCTACCAATACCAGAGAGTTTGACACATTATGGCTGCAGTGTGACACCGAAATGTGCTGTGAATCTTTCCTAAAAATCTATTATCTATTGTATCTATTAGGTAGAGACAGTCTGTATAGACTTAGACTCCTCTGGGCCAATTGAGATTCATTTCATAACTAGAGATTTTGTAAAGAAAGGCTAAAAGAGTTGCTTGTTTTATTTATAACAACTAAGAGTGAAGTAGAATAGAATTGTATGAACAATATTATGCTGCTAAGGTCTCTTTTCCATTGCTTGAAGATATCTAAAGTCTTAGGAGGCACTTCGATATTTATATTACACATCTGAGTGTTTGTGGACTATTTCTATCTCACATTCAAATTATGTACCACTTTAATTATAACTCGCAATGTTAGGTATTCTCCTAAAATTCGAATAGTAGGAGACTGTGGAATCCATCACATCTTCTATGGTAATTAATATTTTATCAATTTGGGAAATGTACTGCTTTTAATGCTAATAATTCAATCTTTGGAGTTATTAAACTTATGGCTTAGTTCTCAAGTTAAACTGTGTTGACCCTAATTGTCTACCGTATTGATAAAAGGATCAGTTATATCCATGGGTCATGTCTGCAGGAGTGGTATTAGATGTAACCTTCTTAGATCACTATCTGTTATCCTCCATATCTCCTGATCCAACAGACAGATATTCTTCAGTTGACTTTCCACTAAATCACAGGAAGCCATTCTACCAGCTTGGCAGATATTCCCTCGGTTTGTAACTCCTGGCTACTCAAGAAAACTGGGTTTTTGTTGTTGTCTAGTATTGGGGATAATTTCTGCAACAATGAGGAATCCCTTAACCTAGTAGTAATACTCTACGGAGTCCATTGACTCCTTTTGTAGTAACCTCTGAGTGTTGTAGACACTGCAAATTATCACAGTGTAGATGGGAATATGTGAGTTCTTGATGAAGCTCCTCTAACATTTAACATCAACTTGTATATAAATGTCCTGCTACTTTTGACCAATATTATTGATGGCCCATTTTTGAAGACTAGTAATTCTCAGAGTAGTTGACAGATCGACTCCATTCCACTATCCAGACCTAGCCAATAGTGCCTTTTATATATCCTGTGAAAAGAATCCTGTCAAACAGAGAGTAGTAACATATCAGCTGCTACTCTCTGACTTACAATTTTGTACTATTATGATTACAGGACACTACTGAGATAGATATACATCACGACATGCAAGCCCAGTCAGGGGGCCAGAGGGGGGTGTTTGAGATCAGAGATTCCAATTCTGAGTGGAGTTACTTAACTAAGAGTGTTGCTTAAGTATTGGATCATGGTACTTTGAAGATGAGCTCCCACCACTTAGGCTTCGCTTCAAATGCATTTTTGGGTTCATATTAAATAAATTAATAATTAAATTTAGACAATGAAAGTTTAAACATTAAATATTAATTCCTTTAGGATTTGATGGGGGCAGGATGAAAAACCTTCTGTGTTTCCATAGTCACGGTAGGAAAGCATTTGTAATAATCCCTCTTTGGATGGTTAGTTCTTGGTGACCTGAAACAATCCTTCTCTTCTTCTTACTCTTACCATAGCTCTTGGCTGATGCCTATAGTACCGATAGTACAAGACCTCAATCTTCTATTGAAAAAGGGTATCGTACGCTTTCTCGAACTCTCATTTATGAAGGGTACTCTTGGGGTAACAATAATAAAGGTCATGATAAGGATAAAGAGTATAAAGGTGTTTTAGATTCATTATAGTAATAAGTAGGAAAAGTACTTAGAATTCAATCTAATATTATTTATACTAGTACCGCCAATACTGGCATACGACTTGTCTCCCCCACACCCTATAAAACAAACTATCTAAAACGCAAACTACCGCAGACCACTCCACCTCGCAACTGCTCCCCCCAAATATAAATCCAAAAATCACGACCTATATGGGCTCACA